ATGAGGGAACGTGCGCAACGGACGCTCTTCTACGTGGACTATCACCGCGTGTGCTGGAGGCCCCAGGTTGGCGCTGAGAGGGCGCTGGCATACCACCACTAAAGCCAGAACCGAAAAGATGCCACGCTTCCGGCCCCGGTGCTCCCAAGCTCGAATGACGGCCCATTCGGGGGAGGGAGCCGTACCGGGGGTCACTTGCCCCCCTCCTATGAAAACCACCCATGGCGGGCCCGCGCAACGAAGCAGAGCTAGAAAGGGGCGCGCTCCCCGGCAGAGAGCTCACAGACGGGTGACGGCCGCCCAAACCACTCCTATCTGTGAGGCTCCATTGTGAGCCATAAGGAGTCCAGAGTGGATGCCCCGGTGGCCCCAGGTCGCCAGACGGTATGGGCTGACCATATGGTGTCACGCTAACCCGAGCTTGTGGTTTTTGAGCCGGACCTTCCGCGAATCTTTCGAGTGCCGCCCCCAGTGATTTTGCGCTTTCACGGACTGGCTGCAGGTGCCCCGTTGTCCCATACATCGCATCTACCACTTGCAGCTGGGAAGCCACATTTCGTAAATCAGAATGAGCCGCTTTTGCGCGTTGTATGTCTTCATCTGAAGGGAATGTGTCTCCTGAGAGGAGACCCTGGCAGTTGCTCCCCTCAGCCAGAAGGCGATGCACCAGCGTAGATAAAGCTAACTTTAGCGCTTCGTCAAATATATCACTCGAAGGTACTCCAAGGACAACATCCCGCGCAACCAACGCAGCAGCTGCACGCCCAGTCAGAAGCCGTCCACTTCTAAAAAATCGCGCCCTGAGCAAAAGAGACCTTGATTGTTGCCCCTCCGTCCACGCCATCCCATTACAGTGAAGTTTTTTGTCTTTTAGTTCCCTCCTTAGTGCCTCTGTTTGTTGGGAGTTTCCATGGAGCATTTTCTCCAGTTCACTCCTTCGTTCTGCTTCAGGGCCTCCCTCTCCTGGTGACGCATCCAGCATGCTTCGCAAATTCGCCGCTGTGGCAGTCAGCGTACCTACCTGCGACTCAAGGCCTTGAATATTACGTATAGAACTCCGTAAAATTCTGTCCGCATCTCCGATTGCCATGACTTCTTCCGAAGTCAAACAAGCCGTATCTGCGGGAGTGAGCTGTAATGCACCGAGCTGCCTGGCGTGAGAGGGACCGCCAGCTGGTGAGCTGGACGGATCAGAACCACCTTCATCTCCTTCATGTGGGTTGCATGGGTCTTGTTCACCAGCGGCCAGGCGCCTGCTTTGAACAGTTATGAAAAGGTCATCCCTTCTCTTCAAGTGCAAGATGCATTGGTAGATTAGGAACACCACAGCAACTATTGGGACGATTAGAACAAGAGCCGATATCGATCGCCTGTGGTGAATCCTGGAATGAGGCGAGACGGGATGTGGAGAGTGGGAGTAAAAGGAAGGGCCTTCTGCGTCTCCTGTTGGGAAAACAGGGAGATTAGGAGGATCCCCTTCAACCGGGGCCAGGGCATCGGCCTGGAGACCCGAGGCAACCAAGGCTACCACAGGGAGCAACAGCCGCATGATTTCTAATTCATTCAGAACTACCGACGTGCAGTGGGGCCTCTTGGCATGGTCGTGGAGCCGGCAGAAAATGCAATTTCCCCTCCGTCCTCCTACCAACCTCCGGTGAAAACGAAGGGCGTAGCTGGAGAAATGGGACGATATGATTCACCCCTGCAGTGACGTAGTAGGGAGATATATGTTCAATTTAAAAAAAATTCAGATTTCATGGGCAACAGTCCCTGTCTTTCAGATTCTATCGCCGTCGCTCACGGAGTTGAGAATGGAGCAGGTTGGGGACGGTGCGGGGGTGGGGTGGGCTCCAGTGGCTCCGTCGTGAACCGGTACAGCACTTCCAGTAGAAACTGAACCGAAATTGTTTTACAATTTGTTTTTAAACTAAACAGGGCCGTTTCGTTTGGTTTTTATCCCTTCTTTGAGGAAGTTTGGATAAACGTCCCCGGGCGATACCGGCGGCAGTGCGCGAACGGGTTCTGCTGCAGCGGTAGTGGTAGGTGAATACTACGTGTGGGATAATGAAAGTTCTACTATTAGATACAGAAACAGAAGCGTATAGGTTGGGAATCTGAGCAATTTTTCTACAACTGAGGTGTTCTATCCTTGCGAACTGAATGATTTTACTTTCATGTACCCATTCCCAACGAACAGTTGCACTGGAGCGTCGTTCGAACCGCAGATCTGTTGCTTGCCGCTTGGCCGGTCAATAGCAGACAAGGAGTCTCATTCGTGTAGTCGAGCTGTTTTTATAAAGTGGCAAAAACGTTCAGTTTCTGTGCAGCCGGACGCTTGTTGCAACACGATATAACAGGTACGTGCAAGATCCAACAACGTCGAGAATTGTCGAGCACGTGGCTTTCAGCAGTCAGCATCCGCACAAATGTTGATGGTTTTGCTGTAAGTATCGAAAGGGGCTCCTGGGTCACCATGCATGCGGCGTTGCTGTGCCACCGGAGTCACAGCAAGAAACTGTAACTCCAAAGGGCAGGTCGCCTCCTAAACCGCCCGCCCCAGGCCCTTACCCGGGTGTCCGCAAGACGCTTGAAGACTGGATGAAAGGCCGTCTTCCGTACAATCTCACTGTAGATCGTTTGACTCTCCTGCAGCTCGCAACGCCCCTTGGTTGCGGCCGGCGACACTTCCTTACAGTGCAGCAGCTGCCCCAAAACAACACCACACCTAGGTCCACCTAAATCCCACTTCGGGCACATGCGCTAACACAGGATGTAGCTGTCAAACACTTCCTTGGCTTACGCAAACTAACATACACTGCGTGCATACCTACTTCTGATAGACGTCGCTACACGGTAGAACAGCGAACCGGGTACCCTCAAACAGATACTTTATGCTTGAATAGAAAGCGAAACAACAAGGGCGATTGTACCCACTCGGATTGAACAGCTATAACATGAGAACAAGGGGTATGCGGGGGAACAAAGGCTCAATTCTCCTGTCCAGCTTGACTAGTATTTCGACCCGGTACGGAGAACTTGATTTGGCCGGGAAAAAACATCGCCAACATTCCCAGATAACCTCTGTACAACAGTGTTTTCAGCTCAAGCTCTTGAAGTGTTTAGCAGGCCAGCAAATGACAACAACCAGACGCGCGGTTTGAGAATTCTTTTCGGGCACTCCACGAGGTGTTATGCTTCCTCCAAGGAGTTCATAAGGATTAATTTGTCCCCAAAATGCAGAAGCAACATAGCATACCTATAGGAATCGACCTATGCGTACCGCTTTAGCAATTTATAATCTACGCAGTGCCGCTCTGTCTGACGAGCCAGTGTCAGCAAGATAAGGTAGCTAAGAGTCTAAGAGTCTAGGGACTGCATTCTAGCTACTTGGTGCGCGAAGGCAGTGCAGCGTTGTTCTGTCTAAGAGCGTAAAGACGTGTGGATTTGTGTTGCACGCAAACATTTGTCAGGTTACATAACTTGTCCAGCTTTGGCCTGCTAGACGACGTGCTGCATTTAAGTTTAAGACAAAACACGCAAGTTGGCAGAGAAGCCTGTGCAGGAACATTTTGCTAAAAAACCCTTCCCATAAAGTCGACCTTCCGACCCAACATGCTCCCCACGACAGTGCCCCACGCCGCCCGCATCCGCTGAATTGCTCACGTGACCGTCACCCTTGAGTTAGGCTCAACATGCTGGCATCTGACAAAAACGAGCACTCCGCCGCTCTTCCAGAGTTTCGGCGAAAGCATGTGATGCAGACACGGCGTGACATTCTGCTATATGAGGTGAACAAGTGGGCATAAACTTTGGGCTAAACAAGCTGTTCAGAAGCAGATGTCGGGGATGCCCCAGATATAGGGAAGGTATATATATATACATTATGAAATAAAAGATATAAAATGTGCTAATACGCTCTCTGGATCATCCGTGGCTATAGAGAAGATGCCAAACAGGCACCGAGTGTAGGCGCGCTACGCACCGAGAGGGATATGGAAGTGGCCCGGGGGGGTCGCTAAAATATAAAACGAGAGTCATATAAGCAGTCACTTATCACTTTGAGGTCTTGGAGCGGTCAATGAAGTACTTGATGATGCTCTACGCCGCAAACTGAAGCTACGAAAAGAGTCCCTCCAGCTTTTGCGACTTGAAGTAGTGCCCCAATGACCCTGCCTCTTCAAAACGTCTTTAAGTAATTGAAGGTCGACGGAGTCACCACCAAGGGTGTTGAGGACTTGCGCTGTAGTCTTTGCATGTTCAATAAGTACAGCTTTCGAAGGGGCTGATTCCAGTGTCCCTGACTTATCTGATGATATGCGCACAGCTCTGCTTACTTGTCTGCCCTCCTCAGCATCCTCCAGCGCCGTTCTCCACATCTGAGCAGCCGAACTAATCGCCGATTGCAACTCCTTTTCGGCAATTACCAAGACGCTGTCAAGACCTTGCAACGCGTCGGAAAGTCGCTGATGGCTTGAACGTACACCAAGGAGACGACTGAGCGACTCTGAAGTCCGCTTTGCCGCGTCCACGTTAGCTCTAAGCGCGCATACATCGCCAATGTACGGCCCTCCAGCTCTGGGAGGGCTACCCGGGACAGTCTCCTTTACAGACGTCTGTAGGTTATACCGAGCCGTCGTCAACGCACTGCGCGACTTAGCAATTGTGGCCAGCCAGGAGTCAATAAGTACACGGTGAACTTCATTTAGCAAAGATTTCAGGAGTTTTAACCCATCTGCAAATGATTGGGAAGATTCACGGTCGACAGAAGGATCCATCCTTACACTAGTGGCCTCACGGTACACCACAATTCCTTGTGCTGCAATACCGTCGAGAGACGCTTCTCTGGCGGAGGCACTATGGAGAGATTTCAAGGAATCCCTACACTTAGTCGCCCATCTGTTCATGGAAGCTGTCAGACTGAGTACTTCCTGAACGTTAATATGTCGCACCTGAGAGCCCGATTCAGGTATTCCAGGCAACCGCCGTCCGGGAGAGGTCGGATCTGGGCGTGCGCTGTCCTCCGTCACAGCTCCATGCCCCCGGCGGCGTAAGGAGGACCAAAGTGTGCTGCTGCCAGTTGTTGTCTTGGGACGCGCCCCCAACTGCTCCGCAGAAGCAGTGCCTTCTGCACCCCTTGGTTGTTGAGGATCCAGGGACGAGACGGAAGGGGTAGAATGGCGTGGTGCCTGCGTGGCTTTTGGGGCCGGAGGCGGTCCACGAATCGCCATCCGCGATAGCATACTCGGCAAGCTGGCGCTTCTGCTCGGCTTCCGGCCCGTCCGTCGTCTCAGGGCATCTCTGAGGCCGCTAGAAGAGCTGCTCAGAGATTCCGAGAGGGTATGCAGACCCGCAGAGCGCAGCTGCAGGCGAAGACGTTCAGACTCGTCTAGCATCTCTCTCGCAGCATCCACTTCTTGGGGAGGGATCCCGCGCGTGTTCAGGAGAGTATATGCAAGGCTATCTATATCTATCTTCATGCTTTCCACCATCTGTTCCACAAGCCGCTGCTGTTCGTGGGTTGCGGTGGTTGAAGTGGGTTTTTTTGGACGTTTAACTAGCTCTGCCGTGACCAGGGCTGCAGCGACTTGACGTGGCATACGCCGCCCAAGCGAAAAAGCCCTAGCCATACAGAACAACGCTTCGGCTTCCTGAGCTGGCGACCATGTTATGGATCCCAGAAAGGACCTTATTTTCTCTCTCTCGGCAATCAACCCTGGCAATTGTGCTGCAGGACGTACTGATATGCTC